GTGTACACCACCACTGCCTGGCTGCATTTTTTTTAAATGTAAAATTATGTAAATGTTACAGGTGCCAAAATTATTAGATTCCTTCAGTAATGTTTTTCCTTAACAAGAAAGAGAAATGCTATTTCATGCTGCCCATCTTCAGAATGAAGTCTTATCATCCACAATTTAGGCTTTCTTCTGTTCTACACTTCAGACCATAGCATTTTTCAAGTTATTAGGATTAAAATATATATTATTTTATTATGTACATGGGCAGGATACCCAAAGAAAACCTAAATTTATACTAACAGAAAGAATTCATAATATACTCTTGACTGAGAATTTCTTCTTACCTACAGAAGGAAAGAAAAAAACAGGAGAGAGGAAGAGAGAAGGGAAAGGGACAGGAAGAAAGCAGAAGGAAGGGGAGGAGATGGAGGGAGTAGGAGGGAGGGGAAGGGGAAGAGAAAGGTGGGAAATGGAAGAAAGGAAGTGAAGAGAAGGGAAAGGAAGTGAAGGAAGAATAGAAAGGGAAGGGGAGGGGAGGGAAAGGAGGGAAGAGAAGGGGAGAGGAGGAGAGGGAAGGGGAGGAGAGCGGAGAGAAGGGAAGGGAGAAGCTCAAACTTCTCAGTAGTCCATTTTTTTTCTTAATGTAAGATTTTGTAGACTTTGTCACCAGAGAAACATAACTTTAGAGTTGCAAAAGTATATTTCACAAATCCATTCATGCTTTAATTGTTTTATTAAGTAGCTTGTTCTTGGACAATTTTGACCACTCTCAACCCCCACCTTCTCTCATCTCCCTACCACCCCTGTGTTCCTGCCTTCTTCCCTACAAATACCTTTCTTATATTCATGTCTCTGATTAGGACTGAGAGTGCCTGTTGTTCACTTTGATAAAAAGTGCTTATCAATCCTCTGAGTTTTGCCCAGGAATCTTTTTTTTTTCCCAGAGCTGAGGACCAAACCCAGGGCCTTGTACTTGCTAGGCAAGCACTCTACCACTGAGCTAAATCCCCAACCCCTTCCCCAGGAATCTTTAGTAGGTAGAATCAAAATATCTTTCCATGTGGCTATCTTTACTTCTTTTCCTATCTATATTCTTTTTATTTCTGTCTCTTATCTAATTGTTCTAGGTCAGACTTCAGGCACTTTACTGAACAGAAGAGAAGAGTGGACATCCTCATCTTCTTCCTAACCTTAGTGGAAATTCTTGAAGGTTTTCTCCACTTAACATGATGCTGACTATACATTTATTGCACATTGCACACAACTTTTGCTATGCTGAAATATACTCTCTATCCCTAGTATCCCCATGACTTATATCATGAAGTGATGTTGGATTTTGTAAAAAGGTCTTTTCTGCATCTATTCACATGACCCTGTGATTTGAAATTAAGTATGTTAATTTTGAAGTATTACATTATTGATTTGTCTATGTTGAATCATCCTTGAATGGAGCAGCTGACCATTATTTTTGTATATTAAATAAACACAATTGAATATTGCCTATGTTTTCCACCACAATTTCTTAAACTGTGGTTTCAATTCCATTTAAGGTCACATAACCAAATGTGATTATTATAGGAAAGTTTGGCAAGAGTAAGTTTTCTGATTGCACTACAACCAAAAAAAGATTCAAAATCAAATGCACAATGAACCCAATCCATTGTGGTTTGGGCAGTATCCCCATGCTGCATCACACAGCTTCCCTGCAGCCTTGGTTATGAACACACACCATATGCACTTTGCACTGGGCATTCCATCACACCACATAACACCAGCTCCTGCTTTCTGAAACAACTCAGCTCAGAATTGTGATTGTTCTGTGCTATGAAATGCAGTGCTTTTACTATAAATGCAAGACTTTGCTTTTTAGGAAACATAATAGCCTAATTGAGGAAGTTTAAACTTGTGTTAAAATGTTTAGCTTTTAAAATTGTAGACTTGAATTTTTATTTTTAAAAAATCAGCAATATCTGCTTGGGATTAAGCTAAAATTCCTAATGGGTTTTAAAGCTTATTTCTACCTTGTAGTCATATACATTCGTGTAAAATGGCATTCTCAGCATTGGTGTTTATAAAATCAAACTATTAGTAAACTCTGAAAAACATTAAAGGTCCTCTACATCCTCCAATATCAAATATTTAGGCAAGATTAAATTCCTCATGTAAATGTAAACAAGCATGCCTATCTAATTAGTATGCAAGTTTGCTTTCACCTTTAATAAGTGGTAAAATCATACATCTATCTAATAATTGTTTTTGAAAAAAATATTATTTGTAGTAAGAATTTCATTAATATACCTGTTTTACTCACCTTTGTACTTAGTGTAAGACTTTCTTGAAAGGAATTTAGTTTCAAGTGCAAAAGAGGAAGCCCTCCTTTAGTCCATGAAAGACAAAGTGGACAAATACAGCCAGAGAAAATGGTCCAATCAATCAATTACAGTAGTATACAGTGAGTTCTAAAGAGATACACTCAGGATGACGAAGTCTAATATGAATCTTTGATGGTCTTTTAATAAAATCCCAGAGCCAGATATTGGAGTAAAAGCTGAAAGATCAGAGAAGCTGAGTAGTCAGCCACTAGTTCTTAACTCTATGAAATCCTCAGCCTCAAGAGAGCAAGTTCCTGTTTCCTCATGCCTTATATACCTTGCTGTATCCTGCCACATTACTTCCTGGGCTTAAAGGCATGTGTCACCACTGTCTGGTTCTGTTCCTCTCATGTAGCCCAGTGAGGCCTTGAACTCACGGAGATCCAGACAAAACTCTACCTCATGAATGATAGGATTAAAAGTGTGTGCCTCCACTGCTTGACCTCTATGTCTAATTTAGTGACTGGCTCTGTCCTCTGATCCCCAGGTAAGCTTTATTGGGGTACTCATTGTATCACTACAATGAAGATCAGGAACCAGGTTGTGAACCAGGTCCTGAACCAACTTTGTGAGGATTTCTTGATGAGATCATTTTTTTTAACTCAATATGTTGTGTTGGATAGAGGTTTGCTTTGTATGAAAAAGAATATGGGTGTTGGGAAATAGCACATAGTTTCTATAAGAGTTTGCATTGCATTAAGTAACAATAATATTGACATCTGTTCTTCATTGAACCTCTGAAAAGATATTTAATATGACTACAGAGACTATGGTAGGTGGAGTAAGGACAGACTCTGGAAAGCCTTATACACTGTGGAAAGTCCTATACACTACAGAAAGCCCAGCACACTATGGAAAATTCTATACACTATAGGAAAAACCTATACATTATAGAAAGATGTATACACTATGGAAAGTTCTACACATTATAGAAAATCCTACACAGTATGGAAAACCCTATACACATGAAAAACACTACACACTGGAAAAACTCATATATTATAAAAAAAAACCCTATACACTATGGAAAGCCCTACACACTATTGAAAACCCTATACACTATAGAAATCCCTATACACTATGGAAAAACAGGTACATTGTGAAAATCCCTATACAGGATGGAAAACTCTGTACATGATGTAAAACACTACACATTATGGAAAGCCCTACACACTGTATGAAGGAATTTAAGGTTTACCTACAAACAAACAAGTGGGAAAATGTTTTGAAAATGTGACCTGATTTCAGTTTTACAGAGAATATCCTAGGGAAACACATGATTCTGAATTAGAAGGAAACAAGAGACAATACTCTTGTCAAAGATAACAAGTGAAAAGACTTTTTTTTTTTTTTTTTTTTTTGGTTTTTCGAGACAGGGTTTCTCTGTGTATCTTTGCGCCTTTCCTGGGACTCACTTGGTAGCCCAGGCTGGCCTCGAACTCACAGAGATCCGCCTGGCTCTGCCTCCCGAGTGCTGGGATTAAAGGCGTGCGCCACCACCACCCGGCTTTTTTTTTTTTTTTTTTTTTTTTTTTTTTTTTTTTTAAGTGAAAAGACTTTATCCCACATGTGAAAATAAGACATTAGGTCAGAGGAGCAGAAGCCAGACAAACATGGACCATGAAGATGCTGCAGAGATCGGATCTGCCACTACTGTTAGTTTACATGTGGAGAATGAATGCCAAGAGATGGGTTAACCCATGCACATAATCAGTGAGACAAATTTAATCATAAAAACAAGAAACTTCTGTTTAAAGCGGTATTTATTATTGAAAAGAAAGAAAAACATGATGTTTAATATGTAAACTATCAAATATTTTCCAAGTAACCATCTAAAGTATTTTCAAGTAAAAATATATACAAGGCAGATATACAAAGATAGAAGCATAATAAGTGGGCAGCGCCACAAATACAACTGAAACATAATTTGATAATGTGAACTGGAGTGACATCATATTGCACCAAAATGCATTCCATATGAGGACATGAACCACAAGCATTTTCATCAGAAAACACACATTTCACTGTGCTTTCCCGCTTATACACATAGCCCAAGAACACCATCTAGCAATGAGTTTGCTACATCAGGACTTTCCCTAGAGGAAAATCATTTAGCTGTAGAAGAATGCACTTTATTTCACATATCACATGTTGTTACACCAGTGCCAAGGAATTCAAAGACAAAACAAGATCCACAAATAATAGTTCCTCTGCACTGCTCACAACTCGTCATTCAGCATTTTTGCAGCACAGCCATCTTACCCTTTAAGAATTCACCACTCAATGTAAGACACGGTGTGCAGTTTGTGCAAACTCTCGCCATCACCTTCATCAAGGTTCATCATCACAATGCCTGGGTAAAGGAGTGTCGAGAACACAGGGTACATTCTGTCTTGGCAGATGTTTCTAATCCTGTAATGAGGTCACCAGAACAGAGCCGCCATGCTCCTGCAGTGGACAATGCTCCAGAGATGCCATGCTCCTGCAGTGGACAATGCTCCAAGGTCACGAGGAACACAGTCTAGAGCCACCATAGGTCTCAGGACGCTTGTAAATTACAACTGGAGCACAGATCTAATGACAGTTGTCAGCCTGACTACCACCAACCTGGAGTGACTCCACCAGAACCACCCAATGATGTTTGCAGATGTATGAAAGGAGAGTTAAATATGTTTGTCCACAGTGCCTAATACATTAATAGGAACAAACCAACACCCATAAGAATTTTTCTAGTCCTTGATGGAAGAGGAAAAAGTTAGTATGCCAAATATTTAGATTAAATTTACAACCCCATATTTTAGCAAAGTAAAACCAGATATACTAGAATAAACAAGCTATATGAAGTGACTGAATTCTGAATTAATAACGACAGCTTCCCCTTCTCAGTGCATGACTACCATATAAGTCTCACTACAATAAGAACTATGTACTATGAAATTCAGGATTTGAGTCTTATCTGTGAGGGAAGGCAAATTAAGCTCTCCAAGCATCCAGCACAAGAGGCCAGTTGTAGTGTGCTCTCTGGAATGTGTTTAGTATAAAACCACAGGCAACCGGGCCAGCATTAGAGAGACATAACTACATATTTTTTCATCATGTCTGGCACAGGTAGAAAACATATCTGATGCTTATGCTTGCAAAATTCCCACATGTTGGAAAACACCACTAACCCTCATTACTATTGTGCTGAAACCTCTTGACAGAAACAGAAATTTTGGGCCAGTGTCTGCATTCAAAGTATACAAGCTTTTGAAATGAAGTATATACTACTATTGTGACTGATTCTAGGAACTTCCTAACAGTGAAACTCTCTGAACATGAATAATATCAAGAAGAACCTAGTTAAAATTTATTTGCAGATTTTATAGCAGCAGCAATGAAAATCTCAGAGAAAAGGGTTGGCAAGCAAGTCTCTCCAAGAAGATGGTCAGGTTCCTCAGATTAATAAGAGAATTCTGGTGGTTTGTCAAATAATCACTATCACATATCTACATAGATATAGGAAAAGATGGGCTTAATGATGCAGAATTTTTTGCTTTCAGAGTAATAAAAATGCTATTGACTAGTATCTGAAATAATTAGAATGCAAAGTAATTTAATGTAAGTAATTTCTCCTGCTATGAACATTCATTCATTGCAAATAATTTGGTTGCTTTTTTTTTTAATTTCTTCAAAGCACTTTTCTACTTTAAGAGAATATTTGATTATAGTATTTAATAAGCAAAATGATGGAGAAATTCTAGGAAAAGATCAATTTGTAAATTCTTTGAAACAAGACCCTTCAATCCTAAGAGCAAGGACCCATAATGACTTGTCTCCTACTAAGATATGACTGTAGTTCTGAGTCTGTGGCTACTAAGGGTCATTCATTAGTAACATGTGAGGTCTACCTTCAAAATGCCCCTCCTAGTCAGACCACGCACAACCCACTTAGAGCTGAAACATCCAAAGACCTAATGCATTTTCCCACAAGATGCTGTGCAAAATACCACCACAGAAGTGCTGAAAATACAATTACTGCTGCAAAAGAGGTAGCTGAGCATTAGTCTTCTCTTTCTCCCCTGGCTTTCAACACTGCCTCTAGTGGCCTCATCAAGAGGTAACAAGGACGTAGCGAGCAGGTCTTTTAACCAATAATGAATTCAGTTTAAAAATCAGCAGTGTGTGTACTAAAGTAGAGGAGTGTGTTTAGTTTTGAATTGCTGCAGCCATCCACACGGCTCTCAGGTGCCTAAGGAGTCACCATTTCTTTGAAAGTATTACCTACAAAACTGTGTGGGCCGTTATTGATACGATAAAATACCTGTGATCCAAACAGGACACATGTAGCAGGTAGCTGTTTGGAGGCTGAAACCATACTGTGCATTTCAAGCCAAGTGGAATTAAGGAAGAGCAGGGGGCCAATTCCAAGAAAATAAATAAAAGTGGCAGGTTTTTCATTAAGAAATCTTGGGAAGTGAGTCTTTCTATAGTTATCATCTTGAAGACATAGTATCAGTATTACAGACTGAAACACAGGGAACTGTTGCTTTATGTAAATGAAACAGAAATTATTTTTTAAAAAAAGAAGAAAAGAAAAAAGTAACATTAACAGTATTGCCATGAGTTGATAAAGAAGGACAATGTCTCGTAAAATAAAGAACTGGTGAACTATGTGGCCATAACTCATGCTTTTGCACCAATATGTGACATAAAAACAGACAAATCACTTATTTTGAGATACCAAATAATTTTAAAATTCAATAAAATAAAGGACTACTTATAAAAATTGGCTGTTAAATCATCTATTTTAAAGTACAGCACTAACAGTCAGTGGCCTACATAGAGGTCACACTTTCAGCTATTAAATATATTGAGATAGACTTTTGAAGTACTATTTGTGGGAATATTTAGCTAAACTACATACGCAGGCAATAATTCTTTTACTCATATATAACATAAATAGAAGCTATGCAAATGACTCATTATCTTCTCTAATTTATATCCTCTAGAAGCTTCTTGCCATTAAATGATGCCATGACTTAATTCCTGGGTTGATTGATTAGGGACCCAAAACATCATCATGTACTCTATCAGCACCAACACACAGAATGTTATGAAGCAAATGACACTCAAATAAAATAAGCTTCTTGAGTCATTTTCATTGGAATCGCAAATCTATTTCTTTCCAAAATAAGAAAAAGAGCTACAAATAAAACTTCATTCATTGCTTTTCTGTTAATCACAGCATAACACAATTGAAACCATTGCCCTCTATATCACATAGACCTTATAAGAAAGCCATCAATTGACTTTTAGGTGTACATTTCAATTAATATGGCATTTAAGTATTTTAAAATATTTTTATAAATATTCTATGGTTCTTTTTAATGGAAAATTAATAGGAATTTTTTTTCTCTTATTCACAAACAAATGTGGATACCACAGTATATATTGTACAGGGAATTTTCCTGCTCTTTAAAAAATTACATACATTTATTTTATATATATATATATATATATATATATATATGAGTGTTTTGTCTTAATGTATGTGCATACACCGTGTGCATGCCTTGTGCACACAGATGTCAGAATAGGGCATTGGACCCACTGGAACTGTAGTCACCCATGGTTGCGAGCCACCATGTGGATGCTGGGAATCGAACTCAGGTCCTCTGCAGGAAGAGTAAGTGTTCTCGGAAGCTAAGCCATCTCTCCAGGCCCAATTCTGGGGCTTCTGTTTTTAAAACACAATCTTCCTAAAGCCACGCTAGGACCTTGGAAGGAGCTTGGGGGCCCTGGAGACACCACTGCTAGTGCTTAATCAGCTTCTTAGGGTACTCATTTACATCCAACAGACAAGCTTTGAGAGTTCTCTGACTTGGTTGTAGGACAGAGAAACATGGTTACTGCTAATCATAGGCTCCCTGCACTTCCTGGTACCCTGACCCTGAGTTGTCTTTTCACACCTCAGTTATAAGATATCCACAAAAGGGAGAGATGCTCCCTTTCTTCGCATCCCATTCACCTGTAAATTGAGATAAAACAGTGCGTTTGCCAAAAGCTGATCCCAGCTTATGAGGACTTCTGCTACATAATTGTCTTCATGAAAACCATCTGTTGCTGTTCAAATGGCAATTGAGGAAACAATTTTAGCAGACACATAAGGCAATCTGAAAAAAAATAAAAATGTTTCCATATGCATACTTTAGTGTTATCGAAAGCTGCAGAGCACTGGGAATAGAAGCCAGTCAGCTGGCCTGATCCTGTGCCCACAGGGCTGGGGGACAAACACACAGACTGTGGATGTACACGCACAATCTTACAAGTGGAACTGGATTCAGTCATGTTTGCTAGGACAAATGTCCAATCTCATGAAGAAAGACAAGTGCTGGTTCTGCTGCCAGCTAAGCAAAGCCGCCATTTGTAAGAAGAGGCACTTGAAATCAAAGGGGAGAATCTAATGCTTTAAGAGACAAAACAGCACTGCTAGAATGCCCATCAGTGGAAATATTGATAATTGTGTGAGGAGAATAAAATTGCACCCAACTTTTGGAAATCTTTATTAGATCCTTTAAAAATTGCCTATTAGCCGGGCAGTGGTGGCACATGCCTTTAATCCCAGCACTCGGGAGGCAGAGCCAGGCAGATCTCTGTGAGTTCGAGGCCAGCCTGGGCTACAGAGCAAGATCCAGGACAGGCACCAAAACTATATGGAGAAACCCTGTCTCAAAAAAAACAAAAAAATTTAAAAAAAATAAAAATAAAAATAAAAATTGCATGTTCAAGGCTTTGTATGTTAAACAAAGAATATTTGAAAATAGAGTATTGCATATCTTAAACTGTTTAGGCTGTATCTAGCTTTCTGTTATAGTAATCAAATCATAATTTTATATGAACATTCAAATATGTACACCAGCACAAACATTAACACATGTAATCACGTGTGTATATATGCTTATTAATCTAAAATATGAGAAAAAGTACTTCATATAAAAACACACATTACAAGTGGGCAGGAGTATTTCTAAATAAAAATATCTGTTTATAAGCTCTCAATAAAACAATTATGAACATGAATTCCACAATTAAAGAAATGCTGTGTTCCCTTGGGGTATAACTTCAAAATAAGCCAAAATGCAACTCCATTGACAGTATTTTAAAGAAATACTGATTTTTTTTTTATGCTTCACTAAATGGTATTACAATGGCATTATAAATTTAACACTACAAAAAAAAAGTCTTTGAAAAGGGAGGACGATGACAAGGCGTACCCTGACTAGCTGGTACAGGGAAAGATAAGTAGTTATCAAAGATAACTATGAGACCAAACAGCAGGAGAAACAGGAGGGTCAGGAACCAGAACCCACAGGACTCTCTTCACGGCTTTACTCTATTTCATAGGGAAGAAGAAAACACCACCACATTAAATCTTATAGGTCTAGTGTAAAAATAACAATATAAAAATATGCACCTCCAGTGGCATCTCCTAGAGATAGATGTCAGCAAAGTAACACTATTTTGGTTCTAGAGACTAAACATAAGGTTTGGAATAGCCCATGTTAGCAAAAACAGGAGGAATTGTTACTGGTTCACTTAGGGAAATAAATACTTTGTGTGGCCTTTAAAAAAAAAAAAAGACAACGTTGAGTATATGTTAAATGTTACTGAGACTTAAAAAAGCTAAATTGGTGAATTGCTCTAAATTAAAATCGTCATTTGTACTTTGGGCAATTAACTATGAACTCAATGATTTTATTAATTAGGATAATTTTTTAAACATCTCATTTGTAAGTGGTCAGAATATAAGAGATGAAACCTAGTGTGGCCGTGCTGCACATTTAATTTTGGATGTTAGAAGTAAGAGTTTTAAAAGTCCCATCATTACATTAACCTTATTTGAAAATTGCCCAGTGTTTTCTACTTCTGACCTAGCACCACCTAGCTGAACACACATACTGACAACTCCTTCCAATAGATGTGTCCTCAGTGATCTCTTTTGCAAGTTGAATTGTACCAAAAGTGAAGAAATGATTGAAAAAAGCTTAGATTTAGAAGAACACTTTTAAACACTTTTTAAAAGATCAGTTGAAAGTCTTACTAAGGAGTGACATTTCTTCCATAGTTTTTAATGTAAATCTGTGCTTTTTTTCTAATTGATCCAGATCATTTTATCCAGAGACATATTTTAACAGAACTGTAAAGGGAATGCACACACTGTCAGAAGTCATCACCATGTAAAAATAGCCACAAAGTAAAGGGGAAAGTGATTAGAATGACTAATACTGCATATAAATGTAGTTATAAGGACAAAGCCTGATATTTAGAGTTTCGTGGACAATTTCTCCCATGTTGATGCTGTACTATAGTGATTAGAATTTCATTTTATTCATCAAGGAGAAAATTACCAAAGAGGTGGTTCATCAGTGGATGTCTTACAAAAAGTGCACATTTTCTGGAACTAAGGAACCAGGATGAAAACAAAGTGACACTCCAAAGATCAAACCTCCTGACAATAAGTGAAATCATATTTAACCTAACAAATTATCCATGATTTTTATTCAAACACAATTCCTAGAATTGCCTCATAAATCATAGCCTCAAGAAATGCTTCTTTAATGCATTCACGAAAATTAGGGTGTATGGATGTAGGTCATAGGTAGAATGCTTGCCTGGCTTTTTCAAAGCCCTGAATTCGATCTCAAGCTACACACACACACACACACACACACACACACACACACACACACACACACACAGAGTACTCCCCTATCTTTTGTTCTGATGCTCTGAGTATAAGCCATTGAAATATAAGTGACAGCCACGTTGGTCACTAAAGGAAAACAATCCAAGGTCTATGTAAAATAAAGTTATTTCTGGCCCCTTTGCCACAATAATAACATTTTTTTCAGAAAAATAGAAAATACTTTTCACAGTATAGGTGTCCCAGTAGGTAAAGCTATGTATACAGACCCCCTATGTACAGAAAACACTTTGGTCTTCTATTTGAAGGTTCTCAGTCATGATAAGAAATGTTACAGAGGCCGGGCGTTGGTGGCGCACGCCTTTAATGCCAGCACTCGGGAGGCAGAGCCAGGTGGATCTCTGTGAGTTCGAGGCCAGCCTGGGCTACCAAGTGAGCTCCAGGAAAGGCGCAAAGCTACACAGAGAAACCCTGTCTCGAAAAAAAAAAAAAAAAAAAAAAAAGAAATGTTACAGAGAATAGCCCTGTTGGCAATGCCCCTTGTCTCGTTCTCTTACCTCAATGGGTAAACACCAGACTCCAACCCTGTGCTTGCCTCACTATGTGACTTGCTTATTAGCTTTCTACAGATACATTGAGTTACCAGTAAATTGCTCAGAAATTAGTTTGAATACATTAGAGAATTTGAATAGAAATAACCGGTTCCTTTAGTCCATCACCAAAGTTGTGTTTTCTTGAAATAAAGATCCATTCTGTATCTCAGTCCTGGGCAGATAGCCAAGATTTTGATATATTAAGTTCATAATTCTTTAGAGTCTTCTGGTACAACTTGTAGTATTATCTGTAATGTTCTGGTTATTCTGTCTACAAAGAAATAAGGAGAGATTAAAATGCATGAAAATCAGAACAGCATAAAAATAGCAAAATGTGAATTATTTGGGGATGCATACTGAGAGTGCATGGCCACCTTCTCTGTACTGCACTTTCAAGAATTATTTACTTCATTACAATCCTATCATGCTCAATTAATTTACTTGTCACTTCTACAACTTCCCATGATGCTTCCTCAATAAGAATATATTAATATTTTGCATTCAAATAAGAACACTTATTTATGAACCAGGAGGCTGAAAGTATTTTGAGACAATGGGACCAAGATATAAATAAATGTTTACAAAATATGCTTCATGTTCAGCTCAAAATGGGTTTGTTCTTTTTTCACAAAGATGACAACCAATTTCTCAAGACAGTCAAGAGAAGAATATTATACGCAGTGTCTAATTTGTAGTATTTTTGAGCAAATTACCATATTTATCAAGGCCTCGTTTGTCTCATAAATAGGATGAGAAACTTGAACTAATCTGGGTCATTAAGGTCTGGTCCTTGAACCAATTCCATTAAGTATCATCCACAATTCCAAATTTGCTTCAAATTCAATCCTTCGTCTCCTAATTTAGAAGCTGAAGGTTTAACCCAGCAAGAGGTAACTGTAACAAGCACTAAAATATAAGAACCCCTGAGTTTTATTACTTCTAAGGACACTTTCTACCCACAACCCTAGAGTGCTGAGCTCTGTGGTGATGGTTTCAGGGACATTGTTGTTTGCTCATTGTCACCAATCCCCACAGAACATCTTCAGAAGTTTCCTAATCTTAGAAAACCCCAGGCTCTGTCTTCTTAAAGGTTTCAGAACCAAATCATCTCTCCTCCAGATATTCTTTCTCTTTTCTGATAACTCATTATTCTAACAGGCTCTCGCGAACAATATTTAACTACATTTTAAAAGCTATTTTCATCTTTTGCTCTCTGAACATTGTGGTTTCCATGCTAAATGTCCCCCAGAGGACATGTATTTGAACACTTGGTCCTCATCTGTTGATACTGTTTAGGAAGGCTGTGGAAAGTTTAAGGGGTGCAGCTTCACTGAAGAATGTGAGTTTACACGGGCCGGTATGGATACCCTACAATCCAGCCTTACTTCCTATGGGGTCCCTACTTGGTTTCTGCTCCCTCACTTCAGACAGTGTGATCAGCCATTCATGAAACCCCTACTGTCCTGCCTTTTCTCTCAAGATGGGCTGCAGTCACTCAAACTCTGAGCCAGAACAATCCCTCCTCCCTTAACTTGCCTCTTCTCGGTTATGTATGTTGTCATAGCAGAAAAAAACAGTAACAAATACAATCATATTCCCTGAGGGAGTTCCTGGGGCATGTTATTGTTTTTATTCCATGTTTATTGTAAAGGGTTTCATGTATACTATTGTCAAGTGAATTAAACCTTATGTAATTCTCAAATAAACTGTATTTTGTAACAGTCCACCCCACCATGAAAGCAACAATCAAGTCCCATATTTGTAGAAAAGGACATGGCAAACTTATACTATGAAAATAGGCTTGGGGGGAAATTATCTATCAGCAGTATGGTGATAGATAGGCAGACAAGGAGCCAAGCCATCTAATAATAGGCTACAAGATACAAATACAAGGAGAGTTGTAAAGAAAAGCAATGAGGTTAAAGAAGCATGGCCTCGAGCCCGTGTTTCAAAGGCATCCCTGCCTGTTGCCCACGAAGCTCATCTCTCTGTCCTGTCGTCTCACTTAGGCCCATTCCTCACACCTGACATCAAAGCGTGTCCTCGTGTTCTCCCATAACATGGCTTTCCCACTCTTGCCTTTGTAGATTTCTTTCTGGTACGGGAACTTTACAGCCATTCCAGATACATGTTTACATGTGCCCTTCTGAAAGGACAGTTCAGATTCTCCTCTCAGCAGAGCAAGGCAGAGACCCAACTGTATGGTTCTGCCTACTCAATCCTGTTGGCATTCTCCCCTGGAATTTCCTAAACTCTCCCTTTGGGGTTCCAGTAGTGGCATAACTTGTATTATGGTGGGATTGGCATTGCCTTCATTACTCATTGGTTTCCCAACTTTTCCTTCTAGGCTGTCCTACAGCAGTGGGGCTGACACAGGTACTCAGTGGAGCCAAGGAAGCTTCTAGAAACACTGCAGGACATGTGAGTTTGGAGTGCCATATATCCTATTCACTCTCACAATAAGATTAGTGGCCACACAATATAAATCAACATTACTGCCTCTTTAAGTAAGGTGAGCCAATGACCTGCAGTTGCAGTTTTCCATAATTACAACCCACAGGAGCTTACAGCAATGCAGTGATTTCAGTTTTATTTTTCATGTTCCCTTGTTATTCTTGACACAAACTGGAAAAACTGAGTTTACAAAATCTCACTCACCCCACCATACCTGGTATCCTCAGGGGAGCAACAGCCAAGATTGAGTGAGCTTTGGAAGCAATGCAAAGCCACCCAGCCCAAGAAATTATATTGAAAATAATAGTATGTTCTCTTAAAAGAGGGTTTAAAAATGCTTTCATATGCATATTTATTTAGTCTCAGAACATGTTTTGAGCCCCTAAGAAATACAGGCAAACTTAATGAATTAAAAAGGTACACTCTAATCTTTAGGGAAAGTCTGCAAATGCATTAACCAGCTTTTAGAGACCTGTCCCAGATGAAACTATCTTGATATACTTTGAGCAACATATGCTTTCAGGCTCTGGAGTTGCAAGTTTGCTGTCCACAAAGATGGATTATAGGCATTCTGTTCATGTTAGCCAGAATGGTTTTTGTTTGTTTGTTTTTATTTTCAAAGATTTTGTTTAAATACAGCTGCCTCCCTATCTCTACCTGAGCAAGAAGGACCAGCTGCTAGTCACCCCACTGGCTCTCAGCTATGATCAGGTTGAGCAGATAACTAGGGGCTATCAATATTCAATGGCTGCCACTAGCTCTGGTCTGGGTGTCCAGGGTTTACTACCTCTGTGTATCTGGACACATCAGGGTGGAACCTACCCCCTTTTCCTCCCCTGCGAAGTTTACCTGTCTGTAGATAAATAAACCATATAAACAACCAAGCAGAAGAATTAACTGCCCTCTTACAGATGGGGGAGGAAGCTTTCTGCATATCTGACTATCCCCTTAAGAGAGTGCTTTCTTCTAGCTCTGGAAATGCTATAACATAAAAAGTGGTTCAATACTGGCATCCTGTGGCCAGAGGTATTCATCAAATCTCTAGAAATCTCACATCCTTGGGCTAGGAGGCTGGGAACACTCCCTGGCTGGCTCTGCCAACTAGCCTTGCACCAGTTTCTGAATGATGTTTAGTTACAACTTCTGGAAACAGCCCGGGCAAGATGTATTTTGCTAGACTGTCACATTTTCCCAGGGTTAATCCATTCACACATATTAAGATTAAAAAAAAAACAGCATAACTTAAAAACTAGACCATTTATGAAGCAATAAAACATATTAAACTACTGAACAAACTGCTTCAAGCAAGGCTCTCCTGCCTCCAAGCTCAGGTGGAGTTTTCTCTCAATCAGAAAGTGTGTCTTTGGGGGAAGAGTCCAGTGCTGCTGTAGGACTCTCATGCTTCGTCTCTGTGTGTTTTGTTTTGGCCAAAGGCTACAAAAATACTTGCTACTGCAGCAATAAATATTATGAACTTTCTTTATTTTCCTACAAGAACACTGCCTAAGAGTAAAATCAAGCAGAATTACAGAGGACCGTTGTTTCTCCCTAGTCCCTTCCAAGGCATCTATAAAGATAAAGAATCGCAATGATCACAGTTTAAAGCAGAATGCTGTGTCCCTGGTCAGACGTCAGAGCATCCCTGAGAACCAAACCACCATCGTGGGTCTCCTTCCCAGCAGTTCATTCCACAAATGGCTGACACTAAATGCAGCAGCCTTGGAGATGTTCAAAACATCATTAGAAGCAGAAAAATAGCAAAAACTCCAAAATTACATGAGCGCAGAAGGACAACAAAGAAGGATCTCATATGAAAATGCCTGTTGGGAACTGACAGGGTGCCTTTGAGCATGTGCCTATGGTAGAGACTGGATAGAACTGGCTGACTGAACAGGCTAGAAAGGGTGACTGAACTCACCCTTTCTTCACTCTACGCTCCTTCTCAAAAGCTGCTGACTCTTTCTTCTGGACATAGGGCTGTCTGCCCTGCTCAAGGCCTCTTTGTCTGTGTACCTCCATCTCATTCCCAACACAGCCCTAAACTGTATCAAGAAACCAAGTAATACTAATCCTAAATATTTTAACAAGATTTATCTTCCCTTTGGATCCATAGCCAGTATTTCCAGTAGAGAAAAACCTAACTAAATACATTCTATAGAAAAATAAATACAGCTGTGCAGGATATAGAGACCATGCATGTGCTCAGTGAATTAGGGTATTTCCGTTAGCCTTGAAATCCTAATTTACATAGCAATATTTCTTACAGGAATAGTGTTGCCAACTAGAAAGTTAAATCCAAGTTGAAACTGTGGTAGGAAATCTGAAGTAGCCAAATGGCGATTCAGTTAGTAAAGAGTCATGGCAAAACTACTTTAAATGGCTGGTTTCTGAATGTTTTTGGAATATATTAGAGAGTCCACAAATAAATATCTGTGTTGTAGTTTTGTATCAACACTCACTTATGGTGATATTTTATTTGTACTAAAATGTGATTTGTATGTTAATAAATAAAGTTGCCCAGGGGTCAGAGCTATTAGCGAGCCATAGCAAAAGCTGGGCGGTGGTGGTGCACACCTTTAATCCCAGCACTTGGGAGGCAGAGCTAGGTAGATCTCTGTGTGTTCAAGGATACAGCCAGCATTGGAGACACATGCCTTTAATCTCAATACCAACCATAGAAGACCTGGAGGTCTGTACAGACAGGCAGTGACTAGGAGGTCATGTGGTTGGGTTTACAACCAATGAGAAGGCAGAAAAGAAAGACTATAAAAAAGACAGACACACAGGAAGTAAGTCTCTTTCAGAGAGGTAGGACCACCACGATAGTGAAAGGTAAGGTTATTTTAGCTCTTAGCTATTGCTCTGACCTCTTGGCTTTCATCTCTGTTTTGGCTCTGTGTTTCTTATTTAATAAGACGGTTACATCTACACTCACTTGTTGAAAAATTTCCCATAAATCTCTAGACTTCCAATGTAAGTTTTTATATTTTTGAGAACTTCATATATGAATACTGCAGTTACGTTATTCCTCCCTCTCTAACTACCAACTCCTATCATGTCCCAACTCTCTTTCAAATTTATGACTTTTTAATTGCTATTTTTACATATATATATACATATATATAAAATATATATATTAACATACTGAGTCCATTTGGTGTTGATAGTGTGTAGATGTGTATAGGGCTGGCCACCTGGGATTGGGGCTTGGCCTGGGAGAAGACCAATTCTCCCTCTCTCATCAGCCATTGCTTTCCTGATGCTCTTAATCTAGAGATGTGGCCTTGTGAGATTTCCTCTATCACCTTGGCATGTCACCCTGGACTGTCATTACGCAGGTCTTGTTTAGGTGACCATATTGTTGCGATTTCAAGGGTGTAAAGCTTCAAGATCATGTCCTCCCTTAGAGTTTTAAGATTAGGCATGATAAATTAAGTGAATTAAGACCAAATACAAAACAAAAAGAAATTTGCATTCTAAACTCGCCAAACCCATAAACAACAGCATGTCTGGTTTTGAAAATATATTTTATGTGACTAACCCAAGTCACTATCATAAAATACCAGACTTAACTTAAATGAAGAAAATTTTATTTATGCTAATGCACTCTTCCTGTGTCAAGGGTCATCAGGATTTAATCTACTGATAGGTATTTAGCTGAATTTGTCACTTGAAGCTGGGTTTGTTTGGAAGAATTAGATGATTGAGAGATGCATTTAAAAGGTATTTTTTTTTAATCCTAGTCCCTTGTTCTGTGGAGTTCTCTGCATCCTGGCTACAGCTTCACCTCGTCAGATACCCCAGGCCTCTAAAAGCAATAGAGCCATGTTGTAGAATATTATTTTTAGGTGTGTTAACTTTGTTTATGTTGCATTTGTTTAACTTTGTGAAGCTGTGTTACTTTGCCTATCTAAAACACTCGATGGTCTAATAAAGAACTGAAAGGCCAATAGCAAGGCATGAGAAAGGATAGGCGGGGCTTGCAGGTAGAGAGAATATATAGAAAGAGAAATCTGGGGGAGAGAGAAGTAGCCAGAGAAGGAGGAGGACAACAGGGGCCAGCCACCCAGCTACACAGCAAGCAATGGAGTAAGAGTAAGATTTACAGAAGTAAGAGAATAGAAAAAGTCCAGAGGCAAAAGGTAGACAGGATAATTTAAGGAAGGAAAGCTGGCAAGAAATAAGCCAAGCTAAGGCCAGACATTTGTAATTAAGCATAAACCTCTGTGTGTGATTTATTTGGGAGCTGGGTGTCAGGCTCCCCTATAGAGTAAAAACCTTCAACAACAGAGCCAGCCCTATCAGTGTGGTGATGAATCCAATCCCAGAACTGAAGGGTCCCAGGAAGGGAAAGGGCAACCATGAAGGTGTGTGAACTGAAACTTTTGAAGCCATGAGCCCAAATAAACTTTTCTTCCTTTAAATTATTCTTGATCTTATATTTTGTCATGGTGGTGAAAATCTAACACAGTGGATATTGATGTCCAGCAAATGTGAGTTCAAATCCTAGCTGTAAGGCTTAAGACTCTGTATACCCAATTCTAAATTCTCTCTCTTGCTGAGCCCTGGCTTCCTCACCAGGTAGAAACAGAGTCTTAGACATGAGTCCTTAGGGAATTGATCTGAGACAGTGAAGCTGGAGAAAGAGATCATAAGAGCCCCTGGCACTGAGGCTCTTCCAAAGCACCCTTCTGACAAAGTGATCTGCATTTTCTCCTCTACATTTTAACTGGCTACCAAGTTTAATCAGCTTTTCCTCCTTAGTGCTTTTAACTTCCTATTGGTCCTGCTAGTGTCCTCATTGCTATCCCTGAAGAAACCACTCATGTCTTTTCTCTCTTCAGCCTCAACCTTCTCTCCTCCATCCTCAGCCCAGCATAGCTTTTTCAAAGGCAGCCTTCTGAGTTTGAGCCCTGGTTCTTTTACTTACATCCACATGACCTGTAAGAATGACATGAATTCTCTGGTGACATCACTCAAAATTTACATAATAGGGACAATGACTTCTACTACTTCAAATGGTTGTTAGGACTGAAATTGGTCACACACGTGCAAGCATATAGAAACCATACAAGAAACACAAGCTGTTATTCTCTTCATGGTTTTTGCTGTTACCAGAACCCTCTGTAGCTCCGTTTTCCTAACAAGGTAGTATTATGGCCATGATATAAGACATTTGCAAGCTTCCACCTCACTCACCAAGAAATCTCACATCATTGGTCAATTTAATGTTGAGATAGTCTCTAGACTTTGTTCAACCCAGGAGAACAATCATTATATCACTAAGGGATTCAAAAAAGCAGTTGAGACCATTTACAGTACTGAAAAAAATGCTACCTAAAGAAGCTATTCTCTAACATGCCTGGGACTACAACCACCCAAATTAAATACCCAATAGGGTTCAACGGGGCTGCACTCTAAATGCCCTTCCTGTCTTTATCCTCACAGCTGCAATTAAAATGCAGTGATTTACTTTAATAACAATTGTACCATATGTAGCTCTAAACTTTAAGAGATGTATATTGGATGTGTGCACCTTTATGGGTTTTCTATACCACAGTCTCTCACCAGGTCCAAGAGGCTTAAAAGTCGTACCTGATAACTGTCTGAACCACTTGGGTTTCTTGTCCCACACAATGAAGAGATAATACGCAGGGACTCCAGTCAACGTGATAAGGAAGCCAACCCCAGTGCTAAATGGGTCCGAGTAAAGGGAGAGAACAACCATGAAGAGGCAAGTGAAGGAGAACAATGCTGGGATGAACAGAGGCACCTGGAACACAGGCAAAACAAAACAGCTTCACACAAGTGCAAGAGACCAGGGGTGGAGGGCACCAGTCACGAGACCAGGCCGTAAGCCCCCAACTCCTTTAAGCAGCAAAATGTCTTCAAGCAGCACAGACCACATATTAGGTGTGGTTTCTTAACTTGAACTTGTTTTCGAATATTTGAACCAAGTCTAAGGCTAGGAAGCTGTGTTTCCTCGTGGATGGTCTATTCAAATTCTTTCACTAGCAAAAGTCTCATTATGATTTACATTTTTCATCTTAAAAGACTGGCTATTTGATAATTAGGATGAGAGCCCACTTTCCCATGGAGTCAAGCGCGCCGGTGGCTTTGCTACATGTTAACACCTCTCAGTGAATATTGATTTCCTGTTGAGAGTCACACTACGACCCGATGGGAATAAAACAGGCCAACTCCTAGTCAACAGCTAATAAAGATGCTGCAAGCATGTGGCAATGAATACAATTAGAAACAAATCCTGATAACATGACTGGCAGCATTATCAGTGCTATGTCTTCAAAGCAAATAAGTAGTGAGATCGCTCTGACCCATGGACATCCAAGGCTGAGGAGATGACAAGCCTGCTCTCCAGCTTTCCCAAAGGAAATTGTAAGCTACAGTGAATGTTCATCCTACTTGGTGGCAAGATCTTCCTTTGCTATTTCATATTTCTTTACAAGTGTGGTGCACAACTTTCCTAATGCTGTGGTCCTTTAATATATTTTTTTCATGTTGTGGTGACCCCAACCATAAAATTATTTTTGTTGCTACTTTATAAATGTAATTCTGCTACTGTTATGAATTGTAATGTAGATAAATATCTGTGTTTTTCGATGGTGACCCACGTCCTAAGACCCACGTGAAAGGGTCATTTGACCCCCAGGTTCCCCAGGTTGAGAACCATTGCTTTAGAGTATATGGAGGAACAAGACTACAATGTTAACAAGTTAAAATGCTTACTAATTTGCAAAGCTACACCCTTTTCCCAGTTATAATTAATGAAGTACTCTTTCTTTCACAGCCCAGCTGTGTCAACAATTGGATATGAAGACAGATAGGGGTGTTACATCCTCTGAACACACCAAGCCATGCATGAACACCCAACATAAAAAGTATCTTTCAACACTATCTGTTCTCAACAGATAAAATCTGTGACGAATTCACTATATCACACTTAATAATGTATATGCTTTCCCTAAGTGAAGCATACTAAAAGCGTTCCCTTCAAGAGTTAAATATTTTACTCTGCAGTACCTGATCCTCCCCCCAATCTCCCCATCATCAAGTTATGACAAAAGAGGTCTAGGTATTAGGAGTGAGATTTATGGAAACCCATCAAGATCACTGCGGTTACCTTGAAAGGACGATGCATATCTGGGCGTTTGTATCGAAGATAAATCAGCCCAGCAACTACCAGCCCCATAAAAAGCCACCTGGCAAAACTGAGGAAATTCAGAAGACTGTAGAGGTCTCCAGAGAAGAGCATTATCATCGTCAAAGGATGCTGGCAGGGGAGAAGAGGAGGCAAAGTAAATGCACAGAACTAAGAGGGAGGGGGCAATACCAAACAGCAACATCGCCTCCCATGACAAGTTTCTTTCCAGTGGTTATTTATAACCAAAAACCATCATCCTGACCGAAGCCTAGACTCCACAAGCTTTTTTTTTTTTTTTTTTTTTCCCATATTCTGTTCTTAGGCTGCAACCAAGCCTTGGCTGGAGGGTGCCCTTATCACCCCCTTTTTCAGATGGGATTTTCTGTGAATTTGCTGTTGTGTTACTTTGTCAGTTCCTTCTTGTCCCTGGAGAGGAGATGTGTTTTCTGCTGTTGCTTTGTTTTTGTGTGAATGTGTGTCCATCCGTGCACAGGTGCGTGCGTCTATCAATGCAGGTATGTTTATCAATGCATGTGGAGGCCAGAGTATAATACCAGGCCAGCATTTTTTAAAATGTGGTCCTAGGGGACTAAACTCAGGTTCTCATGCTTTGAAGGTTAGTAGTGTACCAGGTACACCCTACCCCAAACAATGTGTTTCCAAAGAATAAAAAGAAAAAAAAAGACACTCGATCACTCAAAATCAATGCTGAATTAATTATTAGTAAGAGCCAATCATAAATATTAAATGCAGACTCCACTAGAAAGCTTAAGGGAAGCTCTGAAATGATTCCTGGGATGCACGCAGGAAACAACCATGTGGAGATGAATCTTTCAGCTCCTGAAAGCAAAACATTGACATTTTCCTGGTCCAGGTCAACTCTCCCCTTTTGCTAACTGCATGTGACCCTCAAGAACAGAAAAGAATGAAGCCTAGAGAGCCACAGAGCAGGCCTCTGCAGCTGAAAAAGCCAAGGATGCCTTGACTGATAGCAGATGCTTCAGATGAAGCCTTCTTCATGGAATAATACATCCTGTTCCCACACGTGACGTCAGCTTCTAGATTCCTCGCAGAGTGTGTGCGTACTTAAAAAGAAATTTCGAGGAAACATTCTGAAATAAATTAAGTGCATGGAGAAGAAAAAAAATCTTCAATGCTTCCTAGGGCACTCTCGACAGCACATTTCAGTTGAGAAAAAAAGAAGCTACTAAAATAAAAATGACTCTATCGTTGCCAACGGGTATTTGAGGGCTCTTCCACCTTTTACAGTCCTTTGTAGCCCACATTTCACAAACATTGTTGCCGGCATAGAGAAATCCACAGCTTCCATTTGCATGTGGGATTTTCCTTTCTTCTCTGTAAGGTTAGCTCTCACAGGTCTCACTTATGATTGGAGAACCAGTTCATGGCTTAGTGTTTTGTCTATGCTTTGAATTACATTGTGTGTGTTTCATTATGACGGGGCCCAGAAGGAGACAATGGGTAGTGTTAGCACAGTCTGCTTCCAGCTGAACTCTGAGTCAGTGGTTCAGACTGTGTCCTTGTGGTTTTTTCCTTTGAGGTTTTCTGCCAAGGAGAGAAACCACGGCACCTACTTCCCATTATACCTTACAAATCTTTTCAAAGGTGAAAGAGACTGAGGTGGGGCCTTCCCCAGGGCATCCCATACACATCAGAAACACGGAGTCAAAGCAAGCCATGGCAAAAATCTCTGGCCTCCCGAAGATGATACAATGAGCGCCAAGTGAGTGGTGAATTAAGATGTCTGTTTTAACTCCCTCTTTTTTCTAAACATTTTGTGAGGTTGTAGCTACATATACTTGTTAATGTGCATTACCAAAACAAGAACAGCTGGCAGAGGAGTATGCTTGTGGACATGAATCATGGAGAGGATTTCCGGAAGGTGCCCTTCTCGAGACGCGACATAGAATAGCCTGGTGGGAGAAAAACATGGGCGGAGTTGACGATAGAATCAATCATTCCAAAGGGATATCTGGGACATATCATATTATACTTTGAGAAAAAGCAACAGCAACATCCCACTGAGTGGAGCTTTTCCTACACACAAAGCCAGTTCTAGATTGCTAGTGCCAATCCAATCTAGCCCACATGCATTTTGCACACACATGTACATACATGTGGCATTCAGATTTATCTGATTTAAAATGTAACATAAGGAAACAAGAAATCTTTGTACCATCAAACAAAGCATAAGGGTTACAGATGGTGGGGTGGTTATTTTTGCTTTCTACTTTACTCTTTTTCGTGGCACCTTCAAAAAAAACAAAAGACTTTATCGCCAGAAATAAAAGCTGTTATGAGACTCTGCAGACAGACTCTAAAAAACGCCACATGGCCGGAGAGGAGCGGCTATATGTAGGCCCGCAGCGCCCTCTACTGGACAGAATCAAACATGCTTCACTTGAATCTACTCCAAACTTGCATATCCCTTTAAAAACAACAGGTTCGGAGGCACTATTGCTTTTCTCTTTAAAAGTTATCCTTATCACATCCAATCTCTAAAACAGAAATGTGTTTCTGAAAATACATGAACTCGCTCACCTGGAGACAGCGAACACGCCACCGTTCATGGAGCCGAAGCAGGAGAGGGCAACAAAGATCGGGACTGCTAATGAGAAATTTCCCAGCAGCCGCTCAGAGAAGGTCTGGGGAAAGAAAGAACGAAGCAAATTAATGCTTTCCCAGAAAGTGGAATAAAATGAAACAATTTAGGCCAAACTTGCTCTTTGACTTTCTATTAGCCCGGTGCTACGTGAATGTTTTATAATCCTTCCTTTTGGTTGGGGTCAAACTGCCTCCACAGACAATCATCAGAAGCGGGTACCATAGCATTGGTTGTCTCAGACCTGTGAGCAAAGGTCTCAACAGTCGCCCTCTCTCTCCCTTCAAAGCAACGATCCATGTGCGGAATCTTTATCAACTATGATGCATATCGTCTCTGACTCTGATCAGAGGAGGAAGCTCAATTCGGAAATTCTACTTTTAGAGACAGAAATGGTTCTGCACAATGCGTGCTCTTTCGCCCAGAAAGCCACCTTTGTGTGATGGGGTAAGGATAAGCATTCACGCGAGTTACAGGTATTTGTTTCACATACCAGCCCTGGTGCTAGACGGTAAAACAAGACAACACACAAGCTGATCAGTTATGTCATACGAATGCACCGGTCTGCACTGTTCCTTCCTCCAGTCCAGTCATACCAGCTGAACCTGTTTATGGAGCTAGCCCTCTCCTCCCCCATCCCAGGAAGCTGTCACTTCCTCCCAGGCTTTCCTGTAAAAAGCTAGAACACAATTCCAATCCTGACAGGTGACAGGAAATAGAAAAGGTAGACAAAGTTCTGAGATTTCCTTGTAGGCTGTCACACGTGCCGCCCTGTACATTTCTATGAAGGATACACTTTTTTTTTTTTTTTTCAGTGTAGGATTTCTTTTTCATTGTCCTTGATGCAGCTGGAGCTATGCAATTAACAGAACCCATTATGCTCTCAAAAAATTAGTGCTGCCCTTTGCCTAGAAAGGTGAGGCAACTGACCAGACACCCAGAAGCTTTATACATGCCACTGCCTGATCGCAAGCCCGCCAGTGGACAAAGCCTTTTCATACAGTGAACTCGTAAGTTGGTTCACACAAAATGAGATAATTATCCCCTGTGGGTGGTGTTGATGGGAAGTGATCCTATTTTAAAAGGAATTGACATTCATGGACAGTTTTAATTTTTTCACCCTTCCTACTTTTGAGTTAATGAGTGAATTCTTCCTTACAAGCTAAAATGTTTGAGCAAAATAAAAGTCTGTGTTACAGAAAGAGCCTCACAGCGTGATCTTTGGACACAAGTATGATCTTGGTTGCAAATAAATTTAGGGAAATGCTTTAGAATTATATGTATATATTCTTAGGGAGTTACAATGCACACTGGCATCTTCAAGTATTACAGCAACATCTCTTTAGCATTTAATTGCCTAATTGTTCCCAAATTTATGAATTCTCCAACACTACTATTCCAAGGTTATGCTAGAAATAGATAGACATAGTCCTCCTGAAATTTCTAGAATGATACTTTGGAGAGGAATCAAGTCAACATTTGAAAAGTTTGTAACTAGAAATGAGCAGAGGGGGGTTGCGCTTCACAAATCAAAACCCACATTTATTTACATTCAGTAACTGTCCACCTGTCCATAGAGACATGCTGGGAAAATAACTCCTCCTCCTAAGACAGTATTGATGGAGTTTTAAGCAGCTATACGTGGAAATATTTTCTAGGAGATTTAAATAAAAGCAAAGAGACTCTATGGCAGAGACATGATATATGCTAAGTAAGGTGTGCTCAAACTTTTCAAAATATTATCAAACAGGGCAAGAAAAGATTACTGACTTCCAAAACGCTTTCTCCTGGAGGAAATCTTGTTAGCCTAAAGTCAAGCTGGCATGGTTTTAATGTGGACTTACCACTGCCACAGCACTGGATTGTAACAGCTCCTCGGCGCTGATGGTTGTAAAATAGGCCACGTTTGTTAGCACATAGCCAACCGTGATGATGGCCATGGAAATGCAGATTGCAAGGGGGATCGTTCTGAAATACACACAGACATCACCTATGAGTCATCGTGCGCTCTCTACGACCAAAGAACAGAGAGGACTAATTCCAGTGCAGGATGTCACGGCATTGGCTGTGACTGGCATATGGAGGGACATTTTATCAGAACAAAGTATCTTTGCAATTTAATGAGATCCATGGAGGCAGGTATTTTGTATAACTTGCTTATTGTTTCATTCCCAAATATTTCAGTCTGTTCCTTTCTTTTTTCCATGAATGTTATTGCCATGCTTCTACTAACCTCATGATCACCTGGAAGGCTTGTTAAAGCACAGGCCACTGAGCCTATCCCTGACTTTCTGATTCAGTGGGATCAGCATCATTCCTATTTTCCCAAGTGACCCTGATGCTGCTCACCAGGGAGCACATACCTTTCTGCTATTAATCCAGTGTGCTGACAGCTTTTTAAAGGGAGTCCTCCAAAGCATCTTTCACATTCAGTGTTTTCCCCTTAGGCAGCTTGTGGTGCAAACAAGTGAAGGCATTTGGAAGCAAGAGAGTGGGGTATATCCATCTTCGTAAAAAGATGGCACGAAGAATTTTGCATGTAAGGGAAGTGCTCACAATAATGACTCTGCACAGCCCTGCTGTGAGTTGAAAGGACTCTCAAGCTCATGAGCGTCTAATAAAGCAGCCGTGCAGATAATCCCACGAAATTAGAGGTGACATGCTGGGAAGTATGGACGACTGGACAGTGCTGACACTGGGTGGCCTCAAGAAGTACCCGGCACAAATGCAATCTTATGTCTTCATTTAGTGCAGTGGGAAAGCCAGGAAGCTACTGACCCTCATAATTTGATTCCATGTTACCGATACACATTACTTGCTTAACATAATCGCCTCCTCAGACCCTTTCCGGTTCAGGCAACTTAAACCTTCAACTCCCCACTCAAAAGCTGGTCATTTTTTTCTAGCCATCCTGCTATCAGCCCTCACAGAGGCTTCCCCCCTGCTGGGTGCCACTAATGAAGACCTCAATATAATTTCTTCCAAGATGAAAATGCAGTTCAGAACCAGGAGGCGATAGGCATAGCCAGTCTCACTGGCCAAGCTAGATGCGTTTAACACACTGAGGCCCAGCTCATTATACTCAACGGCAATATTCCCGGTTGAGAGCAGGCAAAACGAGCTAGTCAGCAACTGCTGTTCATCATGCTGCTTACAGCCTGACACTTGCCCCGATCCCCAAAGCCTTCAGCCTTGACCTCTAAATCCTGGCATCCAAACATGAAAGTAGCAGATGTTCTCCATCCCCAGGGTGAAGAGGGTCCCGTGGAATTTTCCTGTGAGCACCGTGACAGACCTCACTAGCTGTAATTGATATGTGCTAAATTTAAGTCAAAAGAAAGAACCAAATAAAAAAATCACTGGGCCAAAGAAATACAAGGCAGTGAAGGGATGAAAGACAAATTCTGTTTCTCTGAAAGACTGGACAGCATTGCAAAGGGGTGAGCAGGAAGAGGTGAGGTGGATTCCCCTTCTCAGCCATTCATTGACTTGTGGTGAACTCTCAGTAAAGGAAGATGGAGATACAGAGAAGGGGAGAAACAGACCCTCCTTTCCTTCCAAGGCCGTGTCAAGGTTCTAATAATAAAAACCGAGGTGACAATGCTCAGTGCAGCGGGGTGACTAACTTGCACAAGATAGGGAACATGGGCCAAACCATATAATGCTGAGAAATAACAAAAAACACATCTGGAATTTGGGACTATGGTCATCCCAACCAAGAACTGAGTTTCCTAGCCCTGTATCTGGAAGCCAGACCCCTGCCTGGTCCCTTTCGTGGTATGTTTCTCAGTGGGGCTTTCGATAGCCATCTCACCAGAGGGCAGGCTTAGCTAGTCCAGCCGTCTAAGACAGTCTTCCCTTTTTCTCAGTTTGCTACTAACAAACACAACAGCAGCAGTGAAGACCATTGGGCCGCTACCGGCCTCAACCTTCTATTGAGTATTTCCCATATCTGCCTCATTTTATCTTTGGAAATTCCTGTAAGCTGGAAACATCATCACAGGAAGAAACGGAGTCTTGGGAGATTAAGGAACTGTCCAAGAACCACCAGCTGGTGAATGGAATTCAGGATTCGGCTGTGTGTATGGCCTAACTTGAAATCAAGGCATTTTAACCCTGAGTGTGTACCTTCTCACACAAAGTGTGCTCCCTCAGCTGTATTAATGTTCATGGAAATTAAGCTGTAGAGTATTAAGTGAGTTGGGGAAATCTCATCAAGACTACATTTCTCACAGGTTCCTATAAAGGAAGGAGAAGCATTCAGAGATTCTTATCATGTTTCTGTAGAACTGTATTGAAGGGTGTTTTCAGATACCTTCTCATTTTATGGAACAGATTACTTATTATAATTATTATTGTTGTTATTTAAAAAGAAAAGACGTTCACTTGATGAATTTCCCCAGACATGTTTGTATACAAAAGGGAAAGGGGTCAACATATTTCTCAAATAACTTGTAATGACTTATTAACAAATGTGCTGTGGAGTCAAATATGGTAGGTAGCTATTGGGAGGGGCAACCACAGGCAGCTGAAAAGGGGTCCAAAAATGAGAGGGTATGCTGTTGAGTACAATAACCATGATTCTCTCCGATTAGATCAAATGAACCCACGGGAACCAGAGACACTGTGGCCACAGAGCCACTAGCCTTTCTGACTGTCCTCAGGTCCTTTTCTCTTTGAAGGAAGGGAGAGGGGTGGGGCAGATTCTGTGGTTGCCTTGGCATAAAAGGCATCAATTTACAAAGGTGAGCAGCTGGCCTGATGAGGGCTGGGTACCACGTGGTTAAGTCCTGGTTACAAGTATCAAAGCCTATGAACTGATAAAAGCTATTAGGCCACAGTGATCTTTCTGAACACTTTAGATGCAGAGGGCAGATAAGCAAGGTTAGGAACCCGAGAGGAATGCCAGTGGCGAAGGAAATGAAAGGAATTAGAGGAAGGAGTAGAGAGGCCATGAATATATCAAAGCTTCTAGATTAGTGAAAGGTAGACATCCATCCTAAAGGGTAACAAAGCATTAGCTTTGTGATGAATACCAATGGTGCACACCTGTAAACCCTCCTCTTTCTCAAGTGTTTGAACATGTTTGTTATAATGAACAAAACACAAATTTAGTGAGAAGAGTTCCCTCATCCTCAAGAGCCTTCCATCACTACATATGCTTTTTCTGATTAGCAGGCAATGAGTGTGTGTATGATATTTTTATTAGCTGAAAATTGTCTTCAAAAATGTCATAGATAGTCTTCCCACTTCTTAATTTAAATTGGCATCTCTAGCCATTCTGGCACACTACTAAACTACTGAAACTACTAAACTGGACGTCTGAAATGCCTGTTCAGGAGCTCCTTTTCCATTTCTTTTTGTTATGGGTGATAGCTTATTTTCCAAAAGTGATGAGTGGATATTTGCCTTTTAAGAATCTGCATAGCCCCTACAAAGACATTTGATACTGAAGTAGATGCGCTACATTTCAGATCACTGTGGAATGATACATAAAATAAGTAAATAAAATGCACAATCATATGTTTAAGTGGGAGCTAACTCCCATATTCTTTTAATCAGAAAAGCCAAAGCTGACAGAGGTTAGTGATATGGGTCAAGGTCACAGAAGCAGTGAGTGGAGAGCTAGAACTCAAACTCAGCCTTGCCAGTGCTTCAAGCTCCCAGAATGTCTCTTGCAAGGGCATCTTGACTGTTCAGTGCTGACTTTTATTTCAAGTTCAAGATCCATAGGGTCCTGGTATGTCAACAGATGCACACCATGTTTTATGTAGGCAATCCATTATCAAGCCAATCATTCTACTACACATCTTATGCCATGCATGTAAGACTATGAACCCAACAGTCACTGAAAGTAGAGAGTCTGGTAAGCATGTTATTATTAAGTACCAGAAAGACTGTTTCCAGAATTTCAATTGGACCACAAGGAGCTACTGCTGTAAAATGAGAGTGAGCAAACCCAGCTTGATGCTGTAGTCCTTCAAGGAACACCAAAGTTAAAAGGAGTTTCGCTACCCAGGTGACTGAAGCAATGCCCTAATTGTGTGAATTTAGGATACCCCAAGATTGTTTCATAACATGAACAAAATCTCCCAAGACTGTTTTGACCCAAGCCTGTTAATCTCCTCAGTCACCATGAGGACCTAGAACACACTAATCTCCTATGGATGTGTTCTTATGTTTGAGATATGGGCCAGGACACAGTGGCAGACAATTAAGTTATTAAAAAACAAAACAAACACACACACACACACACACACACACACACACACACACACACACACAAACCTACCTCATATGCTCTGGAACCTTCTAAAGTGGTTCATGTTTCAACTTTCTATTTAGAATGCATTAATATTTCAATGCATGTCCATTCAGGGTAAGAAAGGACAAAAAAAGTCATGATCAAGAAGAACAAAAGAATGGCAAACTTCTTAATGTAAAAAGCAAAAAAAGGGGGGAGGTAAATAAATAAATAAATGAATGAATGAATGAATGAATAAATAAATAAATAAATAAATAAATAAATAAATAAATAAATAAATAAATAAAAGAAGACTAACATTTTTCAAGCATTTTTCAAGGATTTTTAAAAGTCTGCCGGGAAACAGGGGGCTTTGCCCTTTTGTACTTGAAATGCAGCCATGCTTCACTGTAACATAAAGTATTTATAATTATATTAAGTACCTTCCAATTCTAACTATTTATTTTAGAGACATACTTGTTTCAGATTTTCTCTATAGTGACCCTGCAGGGACTTTGAAAGACTTATATCATTTTTTCAGAGATTTGACCAAGAAATAATTCAAACCTCATTACCTCTCTCTTTTGGATTCACCAACTTGCTTTTTGGGAGTTATCATTTTTTTTATTATCACTGTTATTAATTTTTTTAATTCTTCAAAATTTAGCAGCGTATGACAGACCAATTATTAATAAACTTGTTTCAAGGAACAGCTTCCCCCACA